GGACCCCGGGCCCTCCCTGGGGGTGCAGGGCTGAGCCAATCGGGTGGACGGATCAGGGGTTGGGGGGAGAGAAACAGTGGAAAAGGGAGCCTGCAGCGCGGGGCAAGTTTTCGTGGCTGAAAATTGGCGTCTGGAACACGGGATGGGGAGGGGCCAGGAGACCGGGTCTGGGTGCCAAGGGCCTGACTCCCCCGCGCAGAGTCAGATGGAAAGTGGACAAACCCCCGGACCCGGGCGGCCAGGTCTCCTCCTTTTTTTTCTTGTTTTTCGGTGAATCTTCCCCGAGGATATTTTCCCATTGATTTCCAGAGAGAGCGTGGAAGGGAGAGGGAGAGGCAGAGAGAAACATCGATGTGAGAGAGACACATGGATGGGTTCCCTCCTGCACGTGTCCCGACCAGGGCCGGGGAACCTGTCCACTTGGGCATGTGCCCTTGACCGGAATCGAACCCGGGGCCCTTCCGTCCTCAGGCCGGCGCTCTATCCACTGAGCCACACCGGCCAGGGCCATCCAGGTCTGCGGGCAAGATTTCCAGTCGCGTCCTCATGGAACTGGAGCGTGGCTCCTACCTACCGAGGAGATGGGACGCTCAACGCCACCCTCCGACCAGGGGTGCACTCACCTGCCATCCAGCCCGGGCGCCCCCCACACCTCTCCGTCAGGCTCCCGGGGCGGCCCAGCCCCCACAGCCACCCCTCACCTGCTCCCATGGGCTCCTGGGGCTCCTGGTGGCATCTGAGGGGGTTTCACAAGGACCCCCCACTCCGTGGGGCCTTGTTCTGTGGGAAGACCTCAGCGGGTTAAACTGTGAGTCTGCAGTTGGGGGTGGGCGCAGGCTCAGCTCCCCCCTCCCCAGGGCTATGGACCCTTGCTCTCCAGGATGGGGGTTGTAGCTGGCAGGTGGCAGTGTCCACGCTGCTGCCCTCGGGGCTGTGGCTGGGTGCTTGGCTGCTGGCTCTGCCACGTGCATGACAGGGGGGGCCTGGCAGAGGAGGACGTGGCCGGCGAGGCACCCCCTTTCCAGCAAACAGGCTGCTGCGATCCCCCATCTCCTGGGTGGAGGGGTGGGGACGGACGGGGGGTAGGTGCCCCTCCTTCCTTCCCGTGTCCGTGGCCACCGGCGTGGACGGAGAGGAGCCAGCGGAGCCGTGGCTATATGAGGTCTTTTACCAGGAGCTCCGGCCGCTGGTCCCTGGGAGAATGGCAGCAGTGTCTGGGGCCCCGTTGAAACAAGAGGCCCCGGCCGGTGTAGCTCAGTGGCTGAGCGTCGACCTGTGAACCAGGAGGTCACGGTTCGATTCCCGGTCAGGGCACAGGCCCGGGTTGCGGGCTCGATCCCCATTGTGGGGCGTGCAGGAGGCACCGATCCATGGTTCTCTCTCATCAATGATGTTTCTATCTCTCCCTCTCCCTCCCTCTCTGAAACCAATAATAATATATTTTAATAAAAAGAAAGAAAGAAGAGAGAAGGGGGCGGGAGGGAGTAGGCCGCCTGGTCCGGGAGGGGCAGGTGTGCCCCCTTTCACTGCCTTTCTTCCTGTTTATCCGAGGAACGCGGAGCGGGAGGAGGCGGGGAGTCCGAAGAAAGAGCAAAAGTAGGGATTTTCTCAGGCGACTGGGGCCTGCAGGGGAACGCCTTCAATGTCTGATCAATAAAGTCCGCTTCTGCTGGGCGCGTCCGTCCGAGAGGTCTGCGCGGAGCCGGGGCCCTGGGATCGTAAATGTCAGTCGCCGGAGAGAGGCTCCATCTGTTTATTTGCATTTCTGATGAGTCTGGCGAGGGAGCGATCTGAGGCCCTTCATGCTGGGAAGGCAGACAAAGGGTTCCTTGTGGGGTGGGAGCCCTTTCTGGGTTTTACATATATAATGCCATCTTCTCGCTCCTGGCCGGCCGGGGCCGGATGCAGAATGGATGGGACTTGATTAACTCTTTGAGTTCATCTACGTTCCAGTGGGGGGGGGGGGCTACGGGGGGGAGGGCGCCTGCCTGCCTGTCCGTCTCTCTCCACAGCACACAGGACCGGTCTGGGGGTTTCTCCCTCGGGACCCCCCAGTAAGTCCTTCCCGGAACCAGGACAAATGGGGAGCAGAAAGCGATGTTGTCGGTTGGGCTCTGGGGCTGCCGGGTGTTGCGGGGGGTGCCCACAGAGGGAGGGGGCAGGGGCTGCTCTCTGCTGGCTCCAGCCACGTGGTCACGTCTCTTCTCCAACTGGCTGGAGCGAGGTCCCACGGTCCTCTGTGACCGTGTACCTAACCCCCCAATGGCCTTCCCCACGGACACGTGGGGCTTAGATGTTGGAGCTGATCTGCGGGCTCGGTGCAAATGAAAGAAAAAAAAAGAGGGGCCCGGCTGGTGTGGCTCAGTGGTTGGGCATCAACCTGTGAACCAGGAGGTCAGGGTTCGATTCCTGGTCAAGGGCACCTGCCCGGGTTGCGGGCTCCATCCCTACGGAGGGGTGTGCAGGAGGCAGCAGACCCATGACGCAGATGCTCAACGCAGGAGCTGCCCCCTGGTGGTCAGTGCTTGCATAGGGAGATCTCTGCTCAGCCACAGGCCAGGCTGACAGCTCTAAGTGCAGTGGCAGCTGCTAGAGCCTCCCGCCTAGGCAGCGTTAAGGATTTCTGACTGACGTCTTAGAGTCACTCCCCAGGCTCACGGCCTGTCTGAGGGATGTCTGACAGCCAGCTTAGGCGAGATCCCCCAGGGAGCAGGCCTAAGCCAGCAGGTGGACATCCCCTGAGGGGTCCCAGACTGAGAGAGGGCACAGGCCGGACTGAGGGACCCACCTGAGTGCACAAATTTTTGTGCACTAGGCCTCTAGTAAAAATATATTTTAAAAAAAAAACATAACAACAAACAAAACCAAACATAGAAAAACAGCTTAAAAAAACGAGGGGGGAAAAAAGAGAAAGGAAAACAGCTCGCCTCCGAGAATATAAAGACGGAGGCGGGAGGACTTCCTCCATGAAGGATGAACCAGAGGGTTCTCATGCTGTTGGCCCACGTTTTCGCTCCCGTGGGCAGGAGAGAAAGAGGTATATCCGTCTGTCCCTTCCGCGTCCCTCTGTCCTCATCTCTGGTCCCGGGCCTGGGCCCTTCCTGGGAGGTCAGGGGTCAGCAGGCCGGCTGCCCTGGGCGGGGCTGGAGGTGGAGAGCGGGCAAGCAAATGGAGCACCTCCCTCTGGCCACTCCGATTTCCCGCGCACGTGGAACCCGAGCCGGGCCTCAGCAGGGGGGACGCTGCTCCTGGAGACATTTGGGTCCAGAAAGGGATCCTTCTGGAGAATCGGACCGGACCTCTGCGACGGCCAGTCTTTCTTCATTCCCCAAACTCCATCCTCTCTGGGCTGAACCTGCGGAGCCCAAGGGTTCCGTGGACCCCAGTTTGGGAAACGCCACAATGGACGCTCAGCCCTTGCCCAGGAGGCATGGAGACCGCGTTGTCCCCGCCCAGGGATCAGGGGGCCACCCCTTATTATATGCATCCATACGGTTTCGTTGCCTGTTTTATGCAGGGCCTCGACGGCCAAGCGCACAGGCCGGTTAGGTTTCTGCCTTTGCGCACAGGGTTCCTTCTGCCCTGGTGCCGGCCTCGTGCCCCAGGCTTGCTCTGTTACCGACCTGCGTGCGGGCCTCACTCGCATGTCATCTTACCCCTGAGGAGGTCTTTGTCTTGTTTAATATACTAGAGGCCCGGTGCACGAATTCATGCACGGGGGGTGGGGGGACCCTCAGCCTGGCCTGCGGGATCGGGCCGAAACCGGCTCTCTGACATCCCCCGAGGGGTCCCGGATTGCGAGAGGGTGCAGACCAGGCCGAGGGAACCCCACCAGTGAATGATCTGGGGCCGGGAGGGACCTGGGAGGGCTCCAGGGCATGTCCAGCAGCAGCAAGCTAACCTACCAGTCGGAGCGTCTGCCCCCTGGTGGTTAGTGCATGTCATAGCGAGCGGTTGAGCAGCCTTAGCATATTATTAGCATACCACCCTGGGGAAGGAGCCCACAACCGGGGCCTGTGGCCTTGACCGGGAATCGAATCCTGACCTCCTGGTTCATAGTTCAACGCTCAACCACTGAGCCACGCAGGCCAGGCCTCTTGATATTTTTGCTTAAGAAATCACAAAATCAGACCTTTTATCTTTTTTTTAATATTTTATTGATTTTTTACAGAGAGGAAGGGAGAGAGAGAGTTAGAAACATCGATGAGAGAGAAACATCGATCAGCTGCCTCCTGCACATCTCCCACTGGGAATGTGCCTGCAACCCAGGTCCATGCCCTTGACCGGAATCGAACCCGGGACCCTTCAGTCCGCAGGCCGACGCTCTATCCACTGAGCCACACCAGTTTTGGCCAAAATCAGACCTTTTAAGTGACACTGACCTGAAAGGAAGAAGAACGCAGGCCGGGACAATGACTGTTAGCATTTCAGGAGAGAGGGAGCGTGTGTTTGCATACACAGAGACAGAGAGAATTTGACACATGACAACCTGTCTTTGGCGGCATGCTTTGTCACTTCAGAACAGGCCCGTAAAGATCAAACCTGCCCGTCGCTCTATTCCTGCAGCCCTGGGACTTACGAATGCTGCCTGGTATCCCACCGTCTCGCTGTTCCGTAACCAATTGGATGCCACGGTGATTACTGCTGCCTTTTTCTATTACGAACCGCCCTGAAGAGACGTATTGGCAGCACTTTTATAAAACACATTTTTGTTGATTTCAGGGAGGAAGGGAGAGGGAGAGAGAGAGAGAGAGAAAGAAAGAAAGATTGATGCTGAGAGAGAATCCTGGATCGGCTGCCTCCTGCATGCCCCCCACTGGGGATCGAGCCCGCACCCCGGGCCTGTGCCCCGACCGGGACTCGAACCCTGACCTCCTGGTTCCTAGGTCGGTGCTCGACCACTGAGCCACGCCGGCCGGGCCCTGGCATTTCTTTATGTGTTTGACAACAAGCTTGACTTGAACTCCACTGGTATTAACAACCCTCTTTTCCGATGCTGTCGCCGTAGAGCTGGCTGGAAGGTTCCGTGCCGTCGGCGAGCCTCTGGGCGTCCGTCCTGAGCCATGGAGGCCGGTCCGGACACCTCCCTGTTCCTGGTGAAGGTTCTGGAAGAACTGGACAGCAAGCACAGCCGCGTCTCCTACCAGGACCTGTGCAAGTCGCTGTGCGCCCGCTTCGACCTGCCGCAGCTCGCCCGGCTGCGCAGCCTGCTCTTCTACACGGCCTGCCTGGACCCCGGCTTCCCCGCCACCTTGTTCAAGGACAAGATGAAGTGCCCAGGGAACAACCAGCAGTCCAAGAAGATCATGGTGGCGACC